ACAAATTCTATCAGATGTGATTTTCATTCACAGATAACCACAATCTAGGAGGCGATTCAATGTCGGTCATATGAAGATAATTGTGACCACTCAATGATCAGCAATAGAATTCAGTACACGCCAGCTCTAACACTTATCAGCGAGTCATTACAAATTGTCAGGAAATCCAATGAATCAGTATACAACTACATGAAATCCGATGACATGAATCTGATTTGTCGTATTTTTCTGGGGAATGACAATTCAGTGAATAGTAGGAGAATATTTCACAAACCAAAAAAATATTCAGCATCTTAACAACACACATATTCCTGTTGGATTACACCTACTATGAATAGGAAAATATCGACTATTGTTTGGTATTGTGCAAAGCGTCGACATGTAGTATGCAGCTGTTTCGAAATACATGACCGAATCAACTGTAATTCACTCGAGGTTCACTGAATCTCGCAAACCACACAGCATATATTATCATTTGTAATTCAGAAAGACAGTTGATATCTGACATCATCATGCATGCAACATCATTCTTTGAAGTCTGGCGAGATGATATAGCATTTCACTGAGAATATGTCCCTACCAAGCCATGTCGCTTTGTAATATTGTAAGCCATCCATTCGAATTCCGTCTATCAGTCAATATGAAATTGGTCCAGACTGTTATGTTATCATGCAGAGGGAATGCGTGACAGTCACATTCACACAAGTTGATAGACACTGAGTATATTTTGAGTAAGTGGTGAAAGGGAGAAAAATTCTTTATCACACATTCACAATATCGTCTTAACATTGTAACAGAGATTGGTTACAGATTGTGTTTGTTGATATCGGAAGCACTGATTGTTTGTCGGTCGCTAAATGTTATCAGTCGAGGTGATTATTCGGCGATAGTTAGGCATGTCATATGTGAATCACATTTGTTTCATTCGGTGATTTATTGGATCGTACTCTATTGCTACATTCGGCCCTCACCAGAATCACTTTGCCATAAATCACAATTGCCACTGGCACTGTGAACAAATGAATGTTTTAGAATAGACCTAGTGTGAGATTAATTTGTATCCTAATTACTACATCACAATCAGACTTTTATTTGAAAAGCAGAGGAATATCCGAACTGTAAATGAGTGTTCACCGAAATCTGTGTGGAATGTTTGCTGTCTTATCAATTCTGTGATTTATTTCATGAGTTCGGGAGTATTTCGCCTTCATTTCAACAGTTTCTCTGAAAACTCCACGGGAATTATGAGTAGACTGATTCATTTGAGAAACTGACCATACACATACATTTATTTTATTACGGTTTATTATTCTACCCATCTGAATAATGTTATCATTCTGTGTCATCAGGAGAGAACACTCCTTCTTCATTTTATTATTGTGAACCATGTTAGTTGTAAAGTTAGTGTGAGGAGACTACGATATAGCGACAACATCTCACAGAATTTGTCTTCTGAATAACTTATTCGAATTCATCAAAGATACTGAGTGTTTTTTTATTTCCTGGAATGAAGCCTGACTGAAGACACTAGAAGACTTCTGAACGGTCTTCTAAATTTGAGAAGTGAAAGCCTTATTCAGCGTGAACGACTAAGGGTTTATTGCAACTGCATACAAAGTAAACTTAACCCTATATCGTTTCACAAGTCGCTACGTCGGAATAAGTCAAATCCGCTGCTTTCAACTTTCAGGATCTTTCTGAAAAGAAACGTGATGAAATTTCAAACAAACTCTCGAACTAATCCAATCAGCTCCCAGAAATTTATTAATTGCTCAGCAAACACTAATTTTTGCTTTCCATAATTTACCTTTATTGTGTCGAAATTAATTCACACACGTTTTCCTTGAAATATCATCATGATGTTGACACTCCACCACAGTGTGTGATCCGAAATAAACCCATTTGATGTGAAACACAGCTCGCCGTGATCATTCCGTATACTCTGTCAAATGGTCGTTGTCTGGTGAAGTTTACGGATTTGACAGAATGTGTCATGAACACATCTGACACTCCCGAATCGAAATGGCCATCAACTAAATCCATCTCAGTCATCACCATGAGTGATACAACTATGAGACATAAACGTAATTTCATACTACTCTGTGTGAAATAGAATCGCAATATCCGAATATTTGAATCTTATGACTTTGCCTGAACGTTGAAGTTGATTATATACCAGTGCTCACCCACGTTCACCAACACTGGTCACCGGTAAATTGAGTTGAAAATTACAAATGAAAGAGTGGAGAGTAGGTGTAGACATCGAGATGTGTGCTAGAGTAACATCAAATGCATACAATACACACAGTTTCCGAGACGATAACTGGTCGACGTTTCCATTACCGGTTACCTATTTCCCATTATCAGTGATGTGATTGCACACAAAAAATATATTTCGAATTAAATCACCGAATATGAAATGAAACAATTTTTGTAAAATGTGATTAGGCTCACCTAATTATCCCACTCACACGGAATGCAATCATTATTCTTTAATCTCAGCATTCAATGTCTGGCTGGAAGAACAAGGTTCCGAATGAATTTTCCGTTGATTCCTTCCAAATGAGAATCATTGAACGGTTTCATTACCTATTACGACCATGCTTTTGACCGACTGAAATATCTCAGAGTTAACTGGAATTTTCTAAATTTATACGCAGTTACTTACTAGTGAGAAATATTGAGTCAACAATTTGTGATGTCGGTTGAAAGATTCGGAAAACACCCATCTCATGGTCGACAATTCAGAAGGGTTTTCAAAATTAAATACTATTGAAACGCATTAGCCAACTTCCTTTATTATTTAATATGTTCATTTCATTCGTTGAGTGAACTGTACAGATTCTCTCCTCTAGTCACACAGAATACTGTTCACTACCGCTTTCTTCTTACATGACTTGCCTCACTCTGGTGAAATAAACTTTGTGAAGTACGCTGATGATTTAACAGTTTCAATGGCTGTTAACTCCCAGCTAGATTGTGCCAAAATAAATAGCTTTCTGTCGGGAGTCAGTAAATGGTCTGAGTCTAACGGTCTAAATCCGAATCCTTCTAAATGTGAAAGTGTTAATTTCAGCTTAAGATGTAAACGACAGTTAAAAGTAGTCATCGATTCCCATGACAGTTGTAAGATTGACGATGATGATATAGGAATTAAATCAAAAATGAAGTATCTTGGACTTATTCTCTCTTCTGATCTCTCCTAGACTTCCCATGTCTTAGCGATCTCCGGTAAAATATTCCGTCTGACATTTTACATTTAGAAGTTAAGGCACTCTGGTATAACTCAACCTCTCCTCTTACAGTTCATTAACTCTTGCATCCTACCTATTCTTCTTTATTGTTCACCCTTATTCTCTCCTGGTTTGCTTAAGAAGGACTATGTCACAATTCGTAGAATGCTGAAGAAGGTCAGTAGGGTGAGTGGTGTCCCAGTGTACCACATAGTTAATATTGTTGTCGATAGGCACTTGACTTGTGCAATAAATTTGCTAGAGGGATTTTGTCTGACTTGGAACATCCACTTTCCCCTCAGATTTCATCTTGCATCTGCTCAGGATAGAACAAGAAGTAACTTCAGAAAACTGTATGCTCGCACGTCTAAGTATAGAAATTCTATGATACCATACTTGTCACGTATTTTATGTGATGAAGATAGTGTCAGGCAAGAATTAACTAACCTTTTATCATCTAGTAAATAAACAATTTCCTCCATCCATTCTTATATACCCTCAAGTTTTACTTTTATTATTTCTACTATATTAATGGTCCTGTTGCTTCTTTGTTTTACTCTCATAATTGCGAACACCAACTTATCTCTATAACTGTTGTAATCTTTGATTTTCCCCTCACCATTTGATGTAAAGAGAACATTATATTCAATATATTTAAACATGCTAGGATATCTATATCGCACCGACAATACTGTGTGAAACTAGCCCACGGCAATTTTCACTTCTATTATTATTATCATTATTACCTTAGCTGTTATCGTTATTATTATTTCCATTTTATATGCTGCGTGCTTTTGACATTACCTATATTGTAAATGTGGAGAATTTTCTGTGTGATTAATTTTATTCATTATTTGAGGAAATTAGATGCAATATTTTGATTAAGGCTGAAAATTACAATCTGCATGACAAGTACTGTTTTTGGAATAAAGTAAATTATTATTATTATGACAGCTTCTAGTTCTGTAGTCCCACTCTTCAATCACTCACTAGTGAGTATGCAGTTCAATTCATAGCACACGCACAGCTTCACAGTTACTGAATGTTCTTTGATTTGGTGACTGACAGAAAGTAACTTCATCACAAAACCATCAAATGAACTTCACATTTCATCAAACGTCGGTGTTGTTAATGAAACACTAATGGTAGCCTTATCGTGTGACTTTTTTCCCAGTGCTTTGTATTTACCATCTCCAAGTGTAACTATAACTGAAAGTCGAAATTCAACAAACCTAGTTTGAATCGCTTTACTCGAATGTGCGAAATTTATTCATGACGACACCCATTTCTAGTTTCCACATTCTGACGTTTTCCAGTTTGGTGCATACTTTGATTGGAAGCGGCTTCGAATGAAAAGAGATTTATTGTACATGATGCATTATCGATTAATATTCCACATCTAAATTTGCAACAAAATCATGAGTAGAACGAATCATTTGAAAAAAAGGTGGATTTATGGAGTGAAAATGTGGAACTGTTATTCACACTTATTTCATTAAAAATTAAGGTTTTCAAAATGCAGTACATAAACATACAGATGACTCTATATTGTGTGTGATAAATAATGTCACTGTGAAACCGAATTTTTTAATATTTTACGAATACAAATATGCGTAACATTCGATTGGTGTTAACGTCTACGAAAAGTGTCATCCTTCAAAAGGAACATTTTTATTTTTGAAAATGTTATAATGAATTGCTGAATGGGTAGCGAAAACCAAAAAACTGAAGAGTAATACACAATTGTTACTCATCGAATGTTTCAGTTGACCGAAATCGATTCAATAGAGTTTTTGAAAATATTTCATGATGATGAAAATTAAGAGGGTAAAGCCAATCAGCTTGAGATTCAATTTGATCTGTGTTGTTGAATTGCAGAGTTCAGATTCACAGCAGTAGATGTCAGTATATGCAATACTAGGGAGACCTTCACAGGAACCTACGCATGATCTTGTAATTACTTTCACTGGTTTTGTTGTAACAGCTTTCTGCAAGGAGAGAAATAAAAAGGTACAAGATAATTTTAAGCTGTGGATTCACTTATTGGAATGACATAAATATTCACAGACTATTTTAACTATGTGAGATGAGAGTGACAGTCGAATTCAGTTTTCCGGTGAAGAAGTGCTAGCGATCATTGAGAGGAAATTAGTGGATGAATGAATAATCATTTACTTATTAAGATTATCTCACTGGAAGATGTAGATTTATACTACTCATTAGGCTACTATTTCTGACGTGAGTATATTTGCCAGTGAATTCGAGTAAAGTGTGGATATTCCACACCGCACTACTGATATTTGATGGAAATATCCCTCAAAGTAAATGAAACAGTTTAATTGAGATACGCGGCACATTTACAAATCTTCCTGCTTCTCCAGAGTTACAAAACACACAAATACCACTCTCTCATGTCAGTCATTTGAGAAGAGTCGCGGAAGTCGTGAGATGGATATTGTGCATCATTTGATACTGTCAAGTTGAGTTCACATTTCCTTGTCATCGTGAGTAATGTGAATAGTGCGAATATAAGTGAGTGAAGGAGGACAGTGTCACCACCAGTGGCTATCTGATGATGTTAAGTTACGCAGTAAGTCATTTACATTGTTTCCTGTCTGAAGTCGTTTTAGTTGGATGCATTCAAATACCATCGGAATGGAAATTTGTGTGAAAGAGTATTGAATCACTCGTGTTTAATGGGTGTGTTTGCTGGTGAAGTTCAAAATAACTAAGAAAAATACATGGGTGTCATATGAAAGTTGTGTACAATGTTATAAATAGAAATACATAAATCTTACAACACAAGCTCCACAGTTCTGTTTCTTCGGGGTGTTCTTATCCACTTTATCACAGTTGGTACATTGATAACATTGTAGCTTTCCTGTGTAGTAGAAAAGGTTAAATTTCGCATTGTGAATTGTTTGTATGCAAAATTTGTAACAATAATGAAGACCAGAGTGAGGATGTGCTGTTACTGATAAAGTATAATGAAATCCCTGTCTTTCGATATTCATCTCATGTTATTTGGTGATGTATGCAACATGAATGGAGAATATACGAGGGGTGTTGTGTTTACAGGTAGGGAAGAAGGAGCATAAATAATTAAGCGATGTCAATGTTTACCTCAATGATTTTCAAAGTTATTACGGTATTTATTCTGAGACAATGGCCTATTGTATATGTAATTTCCGCCTTAAATAACAACGTCTGATTCATATTTCCCCATCACACACAGCGGAATATTCAGTTTATTACCTCTATCTCAATTTTTTGCATTAGTGTTTACACTATCGTCTTTAAAGTGCTAATTTCAATCCTATTCCTAAAGGAATCCAAATGTTGATTACATATGCCCAGTGGGAACTCGAAAAATTCATTCACTCCTAAAATTCACCTATGTTAATTCGATTTCAAAACAAGATGTCAGCAAGTTACAAGTGAATTCAAAAAATTAATTAAATAATTATGAAAACAAGAGTTACCCATATGGAAGAATTGCGAGAGCAACATTTGCACTTGAGTTCCTACACCCTCCTCCTTAGCTGAAACTAAAATCAAGTAATAATGAACATATAATTTATAAATATTTTTTCCAGATATCATTCAACGTTGAAATAACTCACACCTGACTCTTCCCACTTTAATGTTAGTAAGCCTTTCAAAATCTATCCTTTCTGTTGATGAGATTCGTTGCTTTTTCATTATGAAGTACATTGTCATCATATTTACAACAAATAATGTCAACTATGTTTTAGAAGATTTGCATGTTTATCGTCTATCGAATTTGTTGAATAACCATTTACTTGAAATTACTGCGAAAAATATCTCCAGTGGATTTCAGAAACATCACTGAATGTGTCTTCTGCATATTTGACGTATCTTTCTTCATCGCATTTCAACAATCGAATTAAACATCAATGGATTCTATGCCACTGTTTTCCGTGTGTTAGACAGTGATTAGAAATAAAGATCACTCTATACTGGTTACCGTGATATTGATTTCTAATACACTCTTAATTCTATAAACAACAAATGTCAAAGGATGCATTTTGAAGAGCATATTCTGAGAATAAATAACTGAACTAGGTTCTTTTATAACACTTACGCAATATACCGAATGAGTCTTCTACATATTCAGGGCTTCGTGTTCTTACATTCATCATCGACACACACGTCGAATGGAGCCATCTGACTGATTCCCATCCCCGATGAAATGATTACGAGTAGAACTGATTTCATACTAGTCGGTGTGAAATTCAGTCATGATTCACTATTCCGCAAACCTTGTGGATTCCTGTCTGCCTTGATGTCGATTCCATGTCGTCCCTCATTCCCATCGACCAACACTTGTGGTCAACAAATTACAAACATAGATGAATATGGAGTACTCTAGAGTAAATGTAGAAATCGTGCGATGACATTACACCAGAAGAGTGTATTGTTAATAACTGGAAAAGGAGTCGACCACAAGTGATTTATTCGCCGTTATCATAGATTTGATCACAAGTGAAATTCAACGTGACTAAATCAAGGGTGACATTGAATATGCTGAGGACTGAGACACGCAAAATGTTACAGTCAACATAAAAGAAACTCTGTATATCACTCTGGTTTACTGTGTCTCCAAAATGGTGCAGTCCCTGCAGATTTTATGGATTACCAAAAATACACAGTTTATAAGCTCCAGTATATCAAGTTTTCGATTTTAATAATTCCCCAACCTACAAATCTCAGCATTGGGATTAAATTAAATAATTTATAGTGAATCAATCTGTCTCGGCGCTCGAATTATTCCAGAAAGTTAGTAAAACCTACGGTCTGCAAAATTATCAAAGTATACCAATTTTGAAAGTGTGAGGTCACATTTTGATCACATTTCATACCATTTCGTTTATTATACATGTTGATACCTGCTTCATAACTCACATGATCGGAAACAATTTTTGAAAAACAAGAGATATATCTTTTATATATCAAACGTATATTTCGATTGATTTCTCTGAAAAAGTTCGGACCAGACTGCCTAACGAAACGTTGGATTTAATCATGTCAATATCGCTGATATTTTACAAATATAATTTTCTACACATGAAATATACATATATGAAACAAACTTATTGGATATGGAGTAAAACGACTCGTCAGTATATGATCAGACTTACCTGATTCCACATGTGAGGTAATCACTACAAACAGGAATACCGAGACAGCCAGCATCACTGAGTTACAACGCCCAATTTGAATTCTTATTATTGATGTGGAGTTTATTTCACACACATCAGCTCTTATATACTTTCTGAAATCTGCTACTTCAACTATTTGTTAATGTGTTGAACATTATACGAATGTTAGTATTACGCATACGTAAAGTGATGTGCAATACTGGCTTATCAATGCGTGTATGTCTGTATGCATTTTTCAATAATTTTTTCACTTTATAGATTTTCTCTTTCAAAATTTATGCTTTTTTTCATGAATATTTTGATAATGAAGATATGTGGAATTTATTTCTTTTGACTGATGCAAACTGCACTGGCATAGCTACAATATCACATGCGTTGATGACGAAGAGTTGTGATACCAATTACCTTCTGATGAGAAATGAAACGTATTTCAATTTCTTGTCAAAAGCTTATTTCTCACTGTGATGCATTTATTTGAGAACACATAGTCGTTTAAGTCGACTGTGTTTCGGAAGTTTAGAATTTCAACCTACTCTTAAAATAATGATAAAATTAATGTGAGCCAATCCATCGTGGGCTGTGAAACAATTTGCACTTCCATGAACACTGCACAGTGCATTACACTAAATCTGTGTTCACTTCATCCAACAGCTATATAATGATGGAAGATGTAAAGGGAATCACAACGGAAAATACAGCGAAACTTTCGAGGTGAAACCAGAGTAAGCCAAGGGTGGCTGACATCATCCATGAAATTTCTGATTTGTATGCATTGGATGGTGTGACAAATCATGGGGAGTGAGGATATAGGGGTTGTTTAGAGTGACAAGAAGATTCCAGGATATCTGAACTTTGTGGATCATTCGTATCCAATCTCACACTAAATCGGTGATCTATACATGGAAACCCACAATCAGGAGAAAGAGGAAGGCGGAGGAAGGATAATTTGAAGTGAGCGTGGAAGAGGTAGTGGTTATGAAGACATTTAGTCAACAACAATGAAAACGGCACAAATCAGCATGAACAGGAGAAATCTGAATTAGACCGCCTGTTCCAGTCAGAAATCACAGATGAGTACGAAATGGGTGAGCTGAGAATAGGATTGAAGTATTGAGTAGTACTGTCAAGTCAGTTGTTCGACACGCTTCAGAGACGTGGTGTGTCATGTGAAATATTTGCAAGCAGCTTCAGTAGTTCATCAACAGCTGCCTTCACTCGATATGTTGAAATGACTGAATGGTAGGTCTGGAGGAATAAGCATGAAGTAACTTTGAAAACAAATGAAACGTCTGGCGAAGGAAATGAAGACAGACCAGAAATACACCGGGGTGACTGTTAATGACATCATCAACCTTGTCATCAAGCGGAATCAAAACGAAAAGAGATAAGTTACTCTTTAGAGACTAAATTGGAGGGGGTTGTGCGAGGAGTAAATCTAGAATCCGAATTATGGGAATTCAGAAAACGCGATGAAATGGAGGCGTTCAGCTGAAGCATTACGTTCCAATCGAAATAAATGAGAATAAAATGATATCTCTTTGGAATAATATGAGTGAAGGAAGAATATCCAACGATGATTTCGAAGTTTTATCTTCATTCACGAAAAATACCCATTTATTCATAAGTAAAACAGAGTCCTTTTGTTCAGCGAAGAAATTTCTTTTCAACGACTTCATTGTCAAGCTGTACAGTCATATTTGTATTACAGAAAATGTTATGAAGTGGCACCAGTTAATTGCTCAGTCAATATACATGTATAAGTGATAAGAATAACGATAATTATAATGTTAAAACTGGTAGAGTTGAAGTGGATGGATTAAAAAGTTAATAAAGATTGTTTTATAAGTGAATTGATACCAAAAATATTTTTAAAAGAAAAATGTCCAGCGTTGTCTAAAACTTTAAAAATAAATTAGGAGTACGATTACGATAAGAATGAAGATGTGAAGTGAAGAAGAATGAATTCAGGTGGTAAAATAAAATAAAAACTAGAAAAAACATTACTATGACCAAGGTAAAGAAAGGGGTTTGACAAAACGTTTTTGAACGCATAATTTAGGTTTCTCTCCATGTATGGCTAAAGCTTCGGCTGGTAGAAACTAGTTGCAAGTCAGCTGCAGGAAAAGTGCGTTTAATACATTCAGATGAACGATTTTCAATCAATTCAAAAATGGTGTCACCTTTGAACGCAAGACTTTGGTACTGTAATTTGTCTAGGGGCGGATTCTTTCTTGACGTTACGTTCAATAAACCTTGTAGGATATCCACTGTTAAGGAGATTTGATCGAAGGTTATCTAGTTAAATACCGACTGTCTCTGTAGAGCAGATTTTACGATTTCTGGAGCATCGGGAATGAATAAGATTTCTCTTTTTCCCTGACGGTATCCAACTGTTGAAGTTAGTGTAGTGCCCATTGAAAGTTGGCTTTCGGTAAATCGGCCTTAACTGAGTGCCATTCTCCCTTCTATGAAGCTTAACGTCAAGGAAATGAAACGAGTAATTCGACTCTTCTTTGGTCGTGAAACGCAAGGATGGGTGAGAGCTCATTGAATAATGCAAGCTGTTCATTCGACTGAATTAATCGCAAAATTGAAAATTTTACATTACCAGAAGGCTTGACCAGGGCTAAATTACATTGCTTTGAACTTCTACATGAACTGCGTAATCGGAATCGAAAAACACTGCGTGCACAAAGTGCGCGACTTCTCAACCAAAACACTCACAATGTGGTGCTTTTGCGAAAAAGAAACATCATTTATCGGTGTTCCAGCCTCATTATAATTATAACGAAATCCACTAATTCTTGAAGAATCGCTGCATTAGATTCACAGTTAACTTGTCAGAAATTTAGTCGAAGATTTATTGAGAGGTGATTGAGGACAGAAGATTTGGTCAGTCGCCACACATTCACCAAGTCACGTATTTCTGTATCTGCGTTGTGACCAAATGACCGCTGTGTAAGCTGAAATAAGAGAGTAGACTCCAATGTGCCAGTACCCGTTTCCGCTCTAATTAAAAGCATTTCTGAAATCGAGAAATACAATCTCATATATGGTGGACGAATTCCACTTCTTTCCGAAGATGACGATGTAAGCGTAAATGGACAGATACACTGAGGTCCTGTTTACTCACACAAATTAACTCAGACTTCTTCTATGTGCTGACTGAAGACAGTATTTCTCATGCAGTATGTCAAAACGAAACTACTCTTTCAGTAATTACGTGAACAACAGCCTTCTTATCATTCCAAATATTACATCGAGATACAGCTGAAAAAATGCTCAAAGTATCGTTCTTCATGATAAACTTGAGAGTGATATTCAGGGTAATAAAATGTAATTCGAGAATCCATTCATCGTTGAGACTGAATCGACCTATGTAAAATAACTCCAAATTTATGTTTATTCATATTTGTGTCATTTTGTGTAAATGTAAAAATAAAACACTACACCAGTCCATAAGCAGTAAATTGTGGTTCTGCTGTTACATGAAATGAAGTAGTCTGTCGTCAGAATACCATTGCTTTAAAGATTTCATGTCAGGAATGGGCGTTTAGCACCGAGTAGACTAAGATTATATGTTATGGTGGGTAAAGATTATAATTAGGGCCTAAATTAAGGATACAATTTCGCCTTAATATCAGGTTTGGGTGTCTCGAGGATGCCGGCAAGTACGTTCGTCTTGATCATCATTCCTCAATGTTGACGAATGCTATAACATCGTGAATACATTTGTTGAGGATTCGTGGTAGTTGTTTTGATCGCAATCGTTGTTGAATACAAAGTGTGCATGTGTAAACCACACGGTCGAAGAATGTTGGTCAGGAGGTAGAGCGTTTATTTGATCGAAGTGAGTGGACAGTTCCCTCGGTCTGTTAATGCAAAGACGTTGCTGTTTTCGAAAGCTGAGAGAGCCTACAAAGATGAGAAGTTGTTATATAATTTCATACCAGGTGACAAGAGTTGTGTATTTTAATAATAAGAAGTGTTGCATTCGATCATCAGGCAAATAGGATATGTGTGTGTGTATTTCATCGATGCGACTCAACTGGTGATGCAAACCGAGCGTTCTGTATCTGACCGAGTATATCTATTACTGTGATGAATTCAAATGTGAGATAGTGTCTACTGGATGACTGTAAATTATTTTGTTCCCTTTCCTCTTAGTAATTAGTTATCAAACATCCTAAATACGAGAGTGAAATGCGAGACTTCATACAAAAGAAGCATACGCCACCAAATTGCTAGCCACACCAGTCTCAATAACGATAATTTTCTAATTAACCAGTCACCTGGGAACCATCATGGAGCAACACAAATTCTATCAGATGTGATTTTCATTCACAGATAACCACAATCTAGGAGGCGATTCAATGTCGGTCATATGAAGATAATTGTGACCACTCAATGATCAGCAATAGAATTCAGTACACGCCAGCTCTAACACTTATCAGCGAGTCATTACAAATTGTCAGGAAATCCAATGAATCAGTATACAACTACATGAAATCCGATGACATGAATCTGATTTGTCGTATTTTTCTGGGGAATGACAATTCAGTGAATAGTAGGAGAATATTTCACAAACCAAAAAAATATTCAGCATCTTAACAACACACATATTCCTGTTGGATTACACCTACTATGAATAGGAAAATATCGACTATTGTTTGGTATTGTGCAAAGCGTCGACATGTAGTATGCAGCTGTTTCGAAATACATGACCGAATCAACTGTAATTCACTCGAGGTTCACTGAATCTCGCAAACCACACAGCATATATTATCATTTGTAATTCAGAAAGACAGTTGATATCTGACATCATCATGCATGCAACATCATTCTTTGAAGTCTGGCGAGATGATATAGCATTTCACTGAGAATATGTCCCTACCAAGCCATGTCGCTTTGTAATATTGTAAGCCATCCATTCGAATTCCGTCTATCAGTCAATATGAAATTGGTCCAGACTGTTATGTTATCATGCAGAGGGAATGCGTGACAGTCACATTCACACAAGTTGATAGACACTGAGTATATTTTGAGTAAGTGGTGAAAGGGAGAAAAATTCTTTATCACACATTCACAATATCGTCTTAACATTGTAACAGAGATTGGTTACAGATTGTGTTTGTTGATATCGGTCGCTAAATGTTATCAGTCGAGG